ACCTCTGGAGTAAGCTCTCTTCTTTTGTTGGCTCACCAGGGTTTAACATACAGATATATGTATATGGAGAGAAGGAATCTTAACAAAAAAAATCTACACTTTTGTGTTGCTTGGCTTTCACTTCAAGTTTCACAGAATTTACCATCCATTTGATTCTGAACAGCTTTCACAGCTGCCACCCTTGCGGCTGTAGCGGCTTTGTTAGCTGCTGAAACTGCCCGGCTCACCTCCTCCTCCACCCGTCTCATATTTCCGGCCTTCTTCGCAGTTTCTCGGGCCGCCTATGAGATCAGAAAACAATAGTTTACACAGCTTTTCTATTTCAAAGTTTTCAACCATTTGGAACTAAAAGTTTCATCCTTTTCACTGAATCAGACGATGATGGAGCGGTGAATTTACCTGAACGGCTCTGCGAACTGGCTCGCCCGTTGGAGGAAGACGGGTTCGAAGATTTCCGTCATCCCATTCACCAGATTTCATGTCACCGTTCCTGAAAGTGTATATGCCATAGCCTTGCTTACGCCCCTCGTGCCATGCTCCTTCGTAACAGTGGCCGTTGGCAAAACGATATACGCCAAAGCCGTGGATCTTGTCTCCGAAATACTCACCTGCGTATTTATCTCCATTCCTGCAAAAAGATTGATATATTTAGAGAGAGACCCTTTTAGTTCAGTTCAGTTCAGTGTCCTGAGATTCTAAGGAGAGAGTGAGCATCAAAAGCATGAGATATAAACTCTAAGGAGCCATGAAATCTATAACAACAGATTCAGGAATTACCCAGATCAAATTCTCACGAATCTCTCTCAAATCTAGACTAATATTCAGATTTCTAGGCCATGAAGATCCAAAAGATCTCTCTAGTACCAAGAAGCATCTGCAGATATGCAGAAAAGATCAGAAAGTGATGTAAGAAGATACCTGAAATGGTAAGATCCAAGTCCATGTTTGACAGCAGACTTGAATTCCCCAACATAGCAACTGCCATCAGCACAGGTCTGAACACCAAACCCATGGCTCTGACCGTTGACCCATTCTCCCGCATAACAATCTCCTGTGTAGAACCTGTAAACTCCATAGCCATGTCTCAGGCCTTGCCTGTATTGACCCTTGTATCTACTTCCCCTTGCCCAGCTCTCTATCCCATACCCATCGTATCTTCCATCGATCCAATCCCCTTCGTACCTTCCGTTCACGAAATAGTAGTATACCCCACTTCCATTGCATTTTCCTTTATGAAACTCTCCTTCGTAGAAATCGCCATTGCTATAGAACTCAACCCCTTCCCTTATCAGTTTCTTCCCTCTCTGGGCCTTGTTTTTTTCCGGTTTTGAATCGCCTATGTACCATTGAACCGGTTTCGATGGGCTCCTGCTCTGAAACCCTAGTCTTTTCGAGGTCTCTTCGCATACCGGCTTGATTGCAGCCATGGCTTGGTTGATTAAAGCCATATTCTTGGAGGCGAAGAACAGAGCAACGGCGACGAAAATCAGAGCGAGGAGGAGATTCTCCGACGTGAAAAGCTCATCGGTTTGTGAGCACAAGAAGAAGAAGAAGGATGAGAGACTGAGGAAGGAAAGGGAGACCATTGTGAAGGCAAGACCCGGGTGGTTGATCCGGGTCGACCCGGTTCGTGGGGTCGACCCGAATGGCTTGGGTGGCTTTCTCCTCTGCTTCTCCTCTTTCTCTCCGACCTCAAGATCCTGAAACTCACCTTCGGTGATGGAAGAGAGGCTGTGAAAGGACGACCGAACGGTCGGAGATGACCGGAGAAGCGACGACTGCGTTCTCGTCAACTTTGCCTGGCTCATCTGTCCCTCCATTTCCCTCGATAAAAAAACAAAAAAAAAACTGATCACGAGAATCTTCTGTAACGTGAGATTATCGTCACCACCGTCGTTCTCGATTTCGCC